CCGCCCTTCCTCGGCCCGTGCTGCCCCCGCGCGCGGCGAGGCCTTGCCGCTGAGCAGAGCGGTGGCTGTGGGGCTCCGTTGGTTCGGCACTTTGAAATCAGTGGAAAAGTTAAAATGAGCTATCATTGCGGCCGAGCTGGCAGTCTCGGCTGCCTTGCAGCTTTGAGTGGTTTACCAGGCTTACTTCCTTTAACTCTGTGGTCTTTGCTTAAAAAGGAACTCCGAAAGAAATTTTTGGTTAAATTTGGCCCAGAGTTCAAGTTCTGCAAATACAGAGAAGAAAGTCAAAGTATTTCAGACAACAGTGTATTTGCGACATGGTATTTTGCAGCGTTGCATTCATGCTGGTATTGGAAAATGCGTTTATGCTCTCATAATCCTCGTTTTTTATTTACTACCGATTAAAAGAAAAAAAAGTGAACTGATGTCCTCTGTAGTAGACTTAACAAAATGTTTACAGTTTTTGATTTGAAGTCCTTACCCACAGCCTTACTGTGTATCATTGGAAAAATCATTTAGCCTGTATGTGCCGGAGTTTACCATAAGGATAATAGTACCTTTGTACTGCAAAGAAATAGTGTAATTTGCTTAGAAAGGTTGCCGAGTGCTCAACTTCTTTTAAAAGCTGTAGCTGAATACAAAGCAACAATCTACTTGGGATTATATTCCTAACGTGCCTTCCTAACGTGCCGTTAGAAATTTAAGGTGCTATAGTCTGTGGCAACTGCTTGTCCCTCCTAGATGTTAGAAATTTAAGGTGCTATAGTCTGTGGCAACTGCTTGTCCCTCCTAGTGAATCATCGTGGTAGCTTGGATCTGTGTTGCTACCGTTGTCTTTCTAGGTGAAATTTAGAGTATGGTGTTGACCAGTGGAGTCTTGCCTGGCTTGGTATCTTCCCTGAGAGGTTACCCTGGACAATATCTCAGTAGCCAAGAAGCAGCGTTGGATGTTTAGATTTCTGATGCTCTTTGTCTATATGTATATATGAGACTACTGACTGTCAAACGCTTCATACTGCCAACCGGTTTTTGGCATCCTGTGTTTGCATTCCTGCATTTCAGCTGAGCTTTGAGAAGGCTATAAATGTAGCAATTCTGTAATGCAGCTGACAGCCACTTTCTTCCTTGCTGGGTTCCTCTGCTTGATCATTGCCAAGAAAGAATATTTGAGAGGCGGTGGCAGCTGGGTATGCAGTGGGATGAAACAGGGGTCCCGTCTTGTTCCAGGATGTTTTCGTCTGCTTTCAAGAGCTTTAAAGTTATGTTTAATGTCTAAAACTAGTGTATTCAAGCCCATTTCTCATGGTACTCTGTTTTAGCGTTTTCCATACGTAATCAAATTTGAGTCTGGATCCTATGGATGCAGCCGGCACAGAGTTCTCTTGGTCCTATAGACTCCATGGGGCTATATAGACCCCAAAGCATTGCAATAAATGATCAGGGTCTAAATAGTTTTTCATTATAGGAAAATCTAATTATGGGAGTGTTAACCTTTTGGGGGAGCTATTCAAGTCAAAAGTGTCAGCTAGCACTCAGATCTAGAGATGCATTGAATATCTGGTAAGAAGTCAGTTTATGCTGCAAAACATCCTTGGAAGCTAGGGAAACTTTGGTACCTTCATTTTCTATATGGAGAAAATGAAATGCAGAGTGATAAGGTGACTTGCTCATAATTGCATGGAAAAGTTTTGAACCAGAGTTAGAGTTACTCCCTTATAATGCCATCCAGTACTCTTAAACAGAGAGAATTTTTTCCCCTATCATTTTGTTTTAATTTATAGGCTGGAAATATTATTTTCATTTTTCTCATTATGTTTTTTATGTTTTTGTTTCTAGGTTAAAGTGAAAATACCTTTTGGAAACAAATGTCTGGATGCTATTTTTTCTGTCCCAGAGAAGGAATTAACACACGGAGTGATTCTTACCCATGGAGCTGGAGGAGATATGAATTTCCCTCATTTAGTTTCTTTGGCAGCCTATCTTGCATCCCATGGAGTTCTGTGCCTGCGATTTACTTGTAAAGGCCTTAACGTTGCTTATAGGGCTAAAGCATATAAAACAGTTGTGGTAAGAAGTGACCAAATTTTGACAAAGCTCATATCCATGGATGTACTTCCAGAGAGGGCTACAGTACCTCCAGTTTTAACTTGATTTTAACTGTTTTCTGTTTTCAGCTGATTAAAAAAATATATATCCTGTCTGCTTCTGGGTTTCCTAAATTACCACTGGAGATTAGTCAAACAGCTATGGGAAAAGCAGAAGCACTGATTAGTTAAATGGAGCTCACAATGGAGCTAATGGCTGTGAGCAAAAACAGCAGGAGCAGTTTTTAGATAGGTAATAGTTGGAACAGCTGCAGCGAGTATATGGCTCTGAGCTCAAGGAGGGGGAAAAAATTTGAGACGAGGGTGTGTGAGTAGAGCAAGGACATTTAGTGGGAGAGAATTTTTAGCTGGTAAAAATGAAAGCATTTGGGCAGAGTGGGGATAATAGGTAGGTGTCCTAGGAGCCTGGTGAGGTGCTTGGTGAGGAGAAGGGACACAGCTTTCAGAGGGGATTTCAAAGGGAAGAAACTGACCTTGGGATTGTGCTGGGTCTCTGAATGTTTGGAGCTGAGAGAACAAACTTTGGAGAAAGACCAGCAGAGGATTCTGGAATGCAGAAGGATTTCGGGCAGAGGAGATTGGAAGTAGCATGTGGGAGCCCTAGATACCTACATAATTTTTGATTACAAAATCAGTTTAAACGGGTATATGTTTGTGTTTAGTTCTTTCTGCTGTTACTATGTTATTTAAGATGCTCTTATATACCTAGATTTTGATAAAATGAGTAACCTTTTGCTATAATAGTATCAGTGTAGGGTCTGTTATTGTTCTGGAGTGTGTAGGAAGGAATGGAACTGTTTATAATAAGCAGATTATCTAGCTGATTTTACTAGTGCATGGGGAGGTAATCTAAGACTTTGCATCAAATCCAAGATTCAGGTAGGACTGGTAGGGGCGTCAAATATTTTTACTTGGGCAATTAAGTCCAGTTCTTAAAGAATTTATTTGCATGAGGTCATTGTGATTATTTGCCTGTTACTTTGAAGTAAGACTTTGCTAGTATTAATGTGTCTGCTCTATGATATTTTTCTTAAAAGCATAATGTTGTTAGCCACCCTATATCAATATGCTACTGCATAATGGTAGTTTAAAGGCATCTGCTAAGATTGTAGATGCTAATCTAAAAAAATCCGATTAGTTATCTTTTTTAAACTGAAAAAATTCTGTTGCTGTATTTTATCTTTTCTGTCAAAAGTAACTCATTGTTTATCTTAACCTTTTTACTGGAAATATAAGGTAAAGTACATGACCTGAAAACCCCCAGTGAAGGGTCTTTGTGCTAGTCTTGTGATAGGCCAAAAGCCTGAATGTGGTCTGTTACTATAACTAGGCTGATGCACAAGTAATTGGGTGTGTTTTGGTAACTTGATAGCCTATCCAAGCTTTCAGACTTGCTGAGAACTAATGTGAAGTTGCTCATGATTACTCCTCATTTTTTTTGCCGCAAAATACTATGTGGTTATTTGTGTGAAAAACAGGAAAATGTTGTATATATGTATATTCTTTGTTTAATCAGTCAGGGAAAATGCCTCCCATTTCATGTTTAGTAGCCATATACACAAACAAAACCTTCAACTGTCTTAATGCTCCTGACTTGCTGACTTGTAATGTTTCACTTTATCTTATTTCTTTAGGAATACTTAAAGCTTTCTGATGATTATAAACTTTCAGGTGTCTTCCTTGCAGGTAAGGTTTTCATTGTCTTTAATTTTCCTTCCTATACTGGCTTTAACAATTGTAATCTGTAATTACATGCTTTTGAAGTCTGCCCTGCTCTGGTGAGAAATGAATGAACTTCAAACGTGGAGGATGGATTTCAGTTTGAGACAGGCACCAAACGCTTGGTGTCTAACATGGGAACAAACTAAATAAACTCTCACTAGTCAGGGACTAGAGATTGCCTAGAGAGAGCAATTCAGCTATCTGCTAGTAGGATCTCCTTTACCGAGAGCTGGATGCTCTGTACTCTTCATTAATTGATTAGTTGTCCACTGACTGCAGTTGGGGGACATAGGAGCCAAACCCACTTACATCATCTGCCTTTAGGTATCTTAACCTAGAGCTGAAGCCTACAAGCTCTGTAGCTGGTGGATGAGCCAGGCAGGTATACAACTCAGCTCTAGTAGCTGTGTTGAGCAGCACTGCTTCTTGGATCAAAAATGAGAATATCTAGCTTGTCATTTTCAGAAAATTCCTATGGGAGTACAATTGTCTAGGCCTATTAACCATCCTTATGGCTGCTGTAGATTTCACTCCAGAAGAAGGAAGGAAAGAGCAATAGGCCATGTTTTCCAGATTCTTTGAGAGAAAACTGTCTACTCTTAAGTGAAAGGTATGATTCTCTGATAATCCACGTGTACAGGATTACTACAGGTCTTGAAGTATTCCTGTTACTTGCAAATGGCTGTTTTCCCAAGGCAGATTTTGGTAAATAAACCTAGTGGCAGATAGAAAATCAGTTATATTATGTGAAAAGTGAAATAGATGCAGCCTGCTTGGATTCTAGCTACTACTGTGCTATATAACCAAGTGGGAAATAATTTAGCTAGGGGTTAGTACGAGAATTGTTAGCTAGGTAAGGAAGCAGCCAAAAGAGGGATTAATGAGCCAGAGTGGAATTGCTGATGGAATTCAAGACTCAGTCTGGGAATTGATCTATTTAGTATTTCTTGTTAATAAGCTTGACACAGAAGATATGCGCTAATTAAATTTATTTTTTGGCAAAAAGTTGGAAAGCGTGGTAGTGCATGGGAAGCTTGAGATGTAGTATGGGAAGACTTTGCAGTTTTGTTAGAACTTGGATGTTTTCTCTGAAAAAATGCAAAAATAAATGATTGGGTTCCTAGTACATCCTTCTGACTCCTTGACTTGGAGAGTTAATTTTGACTAGGATTAACTTGATACTGGAAACTCTGAATATCTTCCAACTAAACTAAACCAAATTGATTCGATTAACCCTGATACAGGCTAGTTCCATTGGAATTAGCTACTTCTAACACTCAATTCTGAGGTATCATAAACTCATATGCCTTTTCTTCAGGGAGATATTTTGATACCCCCTTGCTGTTATTCATGCGGCAGGTTCATTCTGCCCTGTTCCCCTCTTTCTGTTTTTACTTTTAGGCTGAAATTTGAGGTATGCATAAACACTTACTGGATTTGGTTGGGGGGCAAGGACCACAAAACTTTTGTTTTTACTCTGAGCAGATTAAAGTTGCATAAGAAAATCAATACAATAGCATTGTTCTTTAGAATTTCAAAGATCTGGAATGTAGGGCCATTTTTTTTTTCATAGGATGAGCTATTACTCTTTCCTGTATTCCAAAGAATCTCTCTCCATTTCTTTTCCTTTTTTGAATAGTGATGTGAAACTGTAACATAACCAGTCAGTTATCTTATCACAAAATACAGAAATTCTGGTTAGTGTTTTCCACAGAGTTGATGAACAGAAGAATCTCTAGCATTTTGTACGACTGGTGCACTGGAAAACACTTAGGATTGTTTTTAGGAGTTGTTTATTCTAACAGAATGTTGATGAGGTGATAGTGGATATGCTTTCTTCCTTTATTTTTACATGGGAGAAAGGCCGTTCCATGGGCTCACGAGCTGCTGCCTCAGTGATACGTCAGCTTAGCCAGGATGGTGATGATGACTTCATTCAAGGCCTAGTATGTTTATCTTACCCATTGCATCGACCAAAACTTCAGTCCACGCTCCGGGATGAGGATTTATTATTCATCAGGTGTCCAGTGCTATTTGTCTCAGGATCAGCAGATGAGATGTGTGAAAAAGTGAGTATCCCTGTAAATGCCACTATAAAGGGCAGTCTGGAGGAAAAGGAATTAGTCTCGGTGACTTTAGTACTGGTATCCACAGCTGTGACTTTGATTAACAGTCTTGTCTAAATATAAATCTTCTAGAGGAAGCGTTGCGTAGGAAATTTCACCATCAGAATTAACGAAACTTGGGGTACTTTCTTTTGCTGCTTAGCGCTTCTGGCTCATGCTCGATCAGCTACTGTAATAAATTCATTTTTGGACCACTAAATATTGGACCACTAAAATATTGCTAATTTAAATGCTTTGTCTTAATAGGACAGGTTGTACCAAATCATAAACAGTATGTGGAAGGGGGGAGTTATTTGCTATGCTATCTTCACTCTCTCTTAACCATTTCAGGTTACAGAATAGAAACACTGTTCTATGCCATCGATCTACATTTATCACATTTTCGTGACACATTTTTCCAGCAAAGCAGTTCTGCCCACATGTCAGATGTTTGTGAAAGAAAGCGATGTTTTTGTTGAGATGAAAAACAAGTGTTCAGTAATCAGATTATGTTTTTCTGCTTTGTTTTCTTGCAAAGTACATGTATGTTGTCCTTAAACAGTCCTACTTGAATTTGAGACTGTGTGCTTAGCATTTTTCATGCCCAGACAGTTTATAGGGAAACATAACACTTTCCTAACGGGTTGCAGCCAAAATTAGTCCTGTTAGTAACCTGCAGATACTTGGGAGTGCCCTCTTAATGGGGGAAATCTTAAGACTTTCTGGGCTGGTTTTATCGTTTATCTTAGATCTGTTTACTGGGAAAGTCGAGCAGAGTCAAAGCTGGTCTCAAGGGAACTATATTGATATTCTTCCCTTGCAGACAACTCTGACTTAACAAGTTCTATCATTTTATTGCTAGTAGTACCCTCTGGCAGTGAGAGTAGATTCCTTTATCAGTGCAGGGAAGGAGCCTTCACAGGATTATGAAGTTCTAAATTGCTGTTATTTTCATTTGAGTGATGGAGTGATACTGAGGGTTAACCTTTGAGCAAATTCCCTTACTGAATATGGGATTGTCACATCTTTTCTGTCAACATCTTTTTGATGTGCACGCAAGTCCACTTTTTTTTTTTAATAGTTGCCGATTATGTGTTGCACAGGTAAAGGAACAGCTGTAACTTGCACAGTTTCTAGCATCTGATTCTCTGACTTCTCCCATTCTTGATTTTCTCCACAGCAATTGTTAGAAGGTGTGGCAAGCAAAATGAAAGCTTCTAAAAAAATCCATTGGATTGATAAAGCAAACCATGGGATGGCAGTCAAAGGACGAACAACAGATGATATAATGGAAGAAATAAACACACAGGTTTTTTCTTGGCTCAGAGAAAACATTGAACTGGAGCACAAATGATTATCAATTGTTAAGGAAATGTTAACCTAAGATATTACTAAATATAGCAGATTAGAGTTTGTTATTTCTGAGAGACAGATTCTTGAAAACAAATATTTTCAGAGTGGTCTAAGTGTAAATACAAGCATAACTTTGTATGAATGTAAAAATTATGTAAAATAATAAAGAACTATTTTTAAAGGAAAGACACAATATTCAGCACTGGGCCACCATTCTCTTCTATATCTCCATGCAAATGCCTGTATACAGTTATTGATCTGCACTACCAAGTAAATGTGTTTTGACTAATATTCAGAGTAATATCCTGGGGGAAAAAATCTATTTTGAAGCCTCTGAATTTTTAGGTGTATTTTATTTCTGGGTATGTTACTGATGTTATATTTGTTTTCAAAAGGTATTTTTCAAATTAAACCTTATTTTGAAAAGTTGTTTTTTAAAATTAAAATTTGTTCTACTTAGGATTAGAATCCTGCCAGCATGTCCCACAAGACTGCCCAATATGGCTTTTCTTTCCCTACCTTTGTGCCATATCCCTGACCTCAATCCACTTCGAAAACTGCAAGACAAGTAGAGGAATCTCCCACTCTTAAAATGTCACTACCTTAAAGAGCCAGATTGTGAGCCTGCATGTGGCAGAGGAGGAAGGGAATGGGAGTATGGTACTGCAAGCAGGTTTATGCATCAGGAACAAAGAATGTTAGTAGGGTCACAATTTTGAAAAGTTAGCCTGCTGCAGTCTGTTATGTAAAGTCTGTTCTCACAGGCTGTTTAGAAAGATGGGTGGAGAAGACTATTAGCTTAAAATGGAGAAAAAAACAAATGATGTTTTTATCAGTGGAGGAGCTCCTGGAGGAGGAAGTAGTTCTGCCTTTATGATGTGTTTCAGAAGGCTTTTGGCAGGAAGGCACAGAGGAGGCGTGTGGGGGTTCTGACCTCATCATTTCTTAGCAGGAGGAAGTCAGGTCTCCAACACTGAATTCTGATATTGCAGGTGGGACGCATACTTTGTATGTGTTTACAGCTGCAGGCCTCCTGCGTATGGCCTGTGAGTTACCTGTTTGTTGGTATAGCCAAGAGTATAGCAACGTGCTCATTGCCTTAGGCCAAATAACCAGAAGGATACATAATGCCAAGCTGCAGTTATAAGTGAATGTACAAAGGTGGAACCAGTTTGGAGTCAATTGCTTTGTTTTCCCTGGCACGCTCTTGGATTGGGCATCTGTTACTGTATCTAATAAAAACATCCCATCCATCCTTCTGAGGGGCGAAAACAACCTATCCACTGGGCTTGAAAGCGTTTCCTGCATGCACTCAAAGTGCACAGCAAGTGCTGATGATCTGGTCAGTGCTATCTTGTGCAGAGATCAAACTATCTTGGAGGCAAGGCCTGTGAACCTTGAAAAGGTATGTTCACTAGCCTCTAGATACGAATGGGGACTTTGGTAGAAATTGTTAGGGGTATGTGCTACAGTGGCTGTGCTGACAAACAAAGTATTGTTGCACCATTGCTGTTGGTTTCATGGGAAAGAAAACCTGTTTGTGCAGGAGGAATTTCTGAAATGCAAGCTTTGTGCACTTTGCTGTTGTGGGCTGTGCTACAGAAGGGAATTTCTGAATGAAAGAGGCTCTTGGGAAAGATCTTGTATCTGGGAAAGATCTGGTATTCTTAGACAACTGGAAAGCCCACTTTCCTGGATTGGCCTGGTACTTTTCAGCAAGTTGTTTATCCAGAATGTGTTGATAGTGTCCAGGATATCTCAGGGGCTAATCAGTTATTATCTGGCACCACCAGGTACTTGATGGCAAACTGCCATATTGCAGGCTTATGGGAATCTGGCATGCAGAGTCTCCAGAGCGGGTGCCTGCCTCTTTCTTATGTGCTGCTCCTTTATAGCCAACGCCAGTTGTCCCACAAGACCAGGAGCGTATCTTTTGTATCCTGTCTCTAAAGGCCTGGAGTTCATCTGGATGATAACATTGTCTCACTATGTACTCCTCATCAGTCCAGCTGAGATTTGGCAGACCTGGGCCTTAAAAAGTGTAGAACTCAGCCATGTTCTTGCTTTACTGGGAAACAGCTGAAATACTTCTGTTCTCAGCTCTAGTCTTGAGTCCTGACCCTGAGATGAATGGCTGGTTGGTCCTTGTAACCAACAATAACCAAGCAATAACAAGCTTCTTGTTATTGTCTCCTGAATACATGACTTATCTCCATTGCCAAGAGTTCCCTGAAACCTGCTCCTGTCATTCTTGCTTTTATGGCTTGTAGCTTGCTGCTACAGTGCAATCAGTCTGAAGTGAATAGGCAGTTCTAGCCTGGTGGTTCTTCCTGGGAGCAGCTTTTGTGCGTGACATTACAGAGCTGCTTAAATGTACTCTGAGTCAGCCCTGGTGAGCTCAGATGGTTTCTGTAATGTTTTGGTCAGGTGATTGGATCGATAGCTTTATTTTGGTGTAGTAATGTGAAAAATAGCTATTGAAGACTTTAGATTATTGTAGTTTAAAAATATATGGCATATGTGGCTTAGCAAACGATCCAACAAAGTCTTCCTTCTTGTCAAGAGTAAACAACAGAAGTTACTTTTCCACAATCATTCACAGAACCCAGATGCAGAAAAAGCAAAACCAGTTGGCCTTATTTCTTTAACATTCTTTTTGTTTAATTGAAAATATGATCAGTAAGGCTTAGTGCTTGTTGTTTATTAGCCATATGAAAGGGATTTCTGCTACGGTAAAGGAAGAGCTTAGAACAGTAAATTAGATATGCTTATGATACTAAGCCAGCTAATCAGCTTACTAAATAAGAACTGGCTCTATAAAACTACTTTGCAGACAACTGTGAGTTATCAGTGTTGCGTTTAGAAGGCTACTGCTAACAATATACTTGCAGGCTCACTTTTGATACAGCGAAAATAATCATTATACTGATGAAAGTTAAATGTTGATCAGATATAATATCCCTCCGTTGTTTCTCACAGGATTGCTCATAAATGTTGATCTCCCAACAGTAACGTTATGAAATAAGTATGGGACACATTCAAAGGTTCGTAGCTGTTTCCAAAAGAGACGCACAAAGAAACAAGCCATAGGGATTTTAATTTGACTTGCTATGTAATACAGACTTGCAAAGTAAAACAGATCCTCATTTTTGGCTGGAAACATATGTCCTGACTCTTGAATCTCATGAATTTAGATTTGACTGTGAATCTACCTATACAGCATTTTGAGATGATGTTAACATGCTCAGAAAGTAATAGTTGAGTTACTTGAGCAGTTTCAGCAGAGAGCAGATATTTTAAAAATAAAATAGCCTAGAGAAATAACGATCACTTTCGTTTCAGTAGTCACTGATATACACTGCTTAATTCTCTTTAGATTGCCAGAGAGACTAAGATTTTCACAATCAAAACATCTGTAAAAAATCCTACAGAACTTAAAAATACTAGATAAAAAAAGTTCAAAATGTCCAGTAGAAATGAGTTTTTCCTTTAAGATTCTGTAACACTTAAAAACAATATATTAAAAAACCCACGTTGTTGTCTTTGAGAATGCTGGTTCTCTCAGAAGGAACAAAGTTTGGTCTGAAAAAGACCACTTTGGATAGATGAACTGGGTGGGAGGTTTGCAATTCATATTTAATCATTTTTGCAGAACATGGTTGTGTCTAGACCTAGTACACACAAGTGGTCTGTATTCATGAAAAGTATCTGCATTTCAGAGGTATTTCAGAACAAGAACACATGGCTCTGATATAAAGATGTTTTTATTTTTTAAAAAAATTATAAAAACATTTTGAACAAAGTTCAATGACTGCTGCATTATAAAAAGAAAATTGGTGATGGTTGGTTTTCTTCCAAACATAGATCATGATGCAATAAACTTCATAATATCCACTGAAATTTTAATTCAAATTTTCCTTCTTTCCTTAAGAAGGGATTCTTAATGTGGGTAAATATTCCAAAAAATGATTTTATTTCTTTTTGTCAGAGTTCATCTTTGGTCTGTAATCAAGAAGGAACAACCATTTTTCAGTTCATTGTAAACTCAATTTTCAACTATCTAGTGCTGCAAATGCACTAAAAAAAAGTTTCAAAGACTGATATGTCTTAATATTGTGGTAACTGATAACTATGCATTATTGCACAATGGCTGTACCAATTTGTTTGAAGATGAACTGAAGACATTCAGCACTTGCTCTACCTTTACCACTCTGTACTGTACCTTTTTTCTGTGGCAAGTACATGGAAAAAGGTCATCATCAGGCTGCTGCACTTTCTCCATGCCATCTCTGATTTTTGGCTCGTTTACTTGCAAACTGGAATATTCCTAGTTTTAAAAAAAAATGCATTGTTAGTTCATAAACTTCTCAGATTATACATTTGGTTGTAAATGCTGCAACAACTCAGCTGAATAATTCTGTAAAAGTAATGCGGCTGCACAATCTCTTCCTCGATACTGTGTCACGGAAAGAGTAAACAGATACTTAATCGTTGACAGGAACCCCTGTGGGTGCCTCATTGTAGTTAATATCTTGGTGCTAATGCACAGATATTTTCAGCTGTGGTTCACAGGGTGTATGTCTGACGTGGAATTCTTTGATCATTGTGGGCAACATATTCTTGCAGATTAATCAAGATTTATGTGATCTGATTCCTTCTCTCCATCTGCCAATATAGTCTTAAGAGGTTTCCTAGGAAATAATTGCATACAATGTTTATAATCTAGTTAAAGTTCTTGATTACTGCTGTTTGCTTTGTGGCTTCAGTACTGGATTGGCCAATTTCCAGCAGCTCTGTCTCCCTGATTTTTTTCTATGGGATTTCTATTTCAGTGCTAGTAGCAGTTAGAAATGGACTAACCTGAAAAAGTTTGAAATAGTAACAAAAAATATGATCTCCCATGAGATTATTTCTTGCAAATTCTTGTCCAGATTTTGCGATATTTTTGGCCTGTGAAGAAAAGAAAAGTTTAAAAAAATCCTGTCAGAAAGTTATTTCAGGATGGTGATATTGCTTCTGGAGTTAAATATAGTGTTGATTGTTTAGAATAATTAATCATTTATTTTTACCTCATACTTAAACACCCTGAATTGAATTGTCCATGAAACAGTCACATAAAGCTCCTACTGATAAATTTAAAAGATAAAAAATTTAAGCATTCTTAATTTTAAAAGGAAGGCATTATTATGAAAATAGTTTTAATTTCTCCAGAATTCAACTTACTTTCCAAATTAGGGGCAGTATTATGTATTGTAAAGAAGTGTTTTTCTTATTTATACAGCTGATAACACTCATGCAGAAATCCTTCTAATAGATTTTTTTATGTTAAACAAATGCACTTTTTACTCTCTTATTTT